CTAAGAAAGGCTGGAGAGGCCCACAGAAATCCACGAAGATGCCCCCACGAAGGACTGCTGGCAGTGGTCGGGAGACAGCCGGGACTGGCCTACTCTGGTGATGGGTTGGCCAAACACCCTGATAGTTGTGCCATAAGGCCCATCCAAGGACTGAGGAATCTGGATGCAGACATCCACGGCTGGGCCCCTGGTGGAGCACTGGGAGTCTAATTGGTGAGAAAGAGGAGGGTTTATGTGAGCGAGAATTGTTGAAGCCAAGGTTGGATAAAGCACAGGGACAAATAACCAAATGAATGGAAACACATGAACTATAAACCAATGGCTAAGGAGCCCCCAACTGGATCAGGCCCTCTGAATGGGTGAGGCAGCCGATTGGCTTGATCTGTTTGGGAGGCATCTAGGCAGTGGTACCAGGTCCTGGGCTCGTTACATGAGTTGGCTGTTTGAAGCCTGGGACTTATGCAGGGACGCTTGGCTCAATCTGGGAGGAGGGGACTGGACCTGCCTGGACTGGGTCTATCCGGTCGATCCCAGTCCTCAGGGGAGACCTTGATCTGGAGGAGGTGGGAATGGGGGGTGTGCTGGGGGGAGGGGAGGGAGCAGGAGGGGAGAGAATGAGGGAATCTGTGGCTATTATGTGGAACTGAATAGTATTGTAAAATAAAAAAATAAAATGTAAAAAAAAAGAATAAAATAAAGATCTTATCAGTTTGGCAAACTTTAAAAAAATGAATCATTTAGTTAAAGAGAATATTAAATGTTAATTTTAAAGAGGGATGTGGGACAGAACATACAGGAAAGCTGGGGTGCTATAAAAGATCAAACTTATAGGCTTTAAAGAAGAAACCCAGATCTAAGGCACAGAACATATTTTCAAAAAATCATAGACAATAATTTCCAAATTCTGAGAGAAAGGATGGCTATTAAGTTACAAGAGGCATACTGAATACCAGACACAGGACCAGAAAAGAAACTCCTCATGTCAAATAATTGACTTGGAGGATCAGATCAATTTAAAGACACAGGGAAAATATCTTTCAGCTATGGGGAAGCCTTATTATTTAATGTTTATTAGTATCATTCTAGCCTATTAGTCTGAACACTTAGAATGGTTTTAGATTCATAGCAAAGTTGAATGGAGGTTCAGAGATTTTTTCATACTGCCCTGCCCAGCAAAGTCATAGCTCACTCCACTGGGAGCATCCTCCCCACCGCCCCGAGTGGTGTGTTTGCTTTGTCCTATTCCCTATAATATTCCTAGAGAAAGAGAGTTCTTAGCTACCTGACATGTTCAGGTTGTATTAATGATCATTTAAATCCATAAGAGAATCCTGAGGATAATCAGTGATTAAAAGTACATGGCATTATGATAAAAAGGAAGACCTGTGTGTATCAGATCAGAGATGGCCTTTTAGAGCATGTGATATTTTGGCTGAAAGAGGACCGCTAGTGATATAGTAAAAAGGAGGCAAAAGGTGTCTGAGGTAAATAGAAAACACTAAGGACTCCCCAAAACTGGAGTCAATTTCAGTGGGGTAGGGTTGGTATGCAGTTGTGTTTTGGTTTGAATGGAGTAACTTAGTATAGTCTTAAGATTATGATGAGTCAAATATTTAAAACATTTACACACACACACACACACACACACACACACACACACACACACACACACCAAGGAGAGTTGATGGGGGCGATGAGGAAAAATGGAATTGAGTAAATAGTTGGATGGTTTTTGCATAGTTGAAAAATAAAGGAAACCGGTAGTTTGATGTGAGTTAGGGAGAGTTTGAGTGGTTTGGGAGGGAAGGGTAAGATCTTGGGTTGGGAAGGAAGTAGTGAAGGAAGCAACGTCAAGAGTCTTCAGGAAGTTCCTGAATCGTCAACAAGTATTGTGCACATTTCCGAGGCCTGAGGTGAGGGCATTCAGGAATGACTTCTGAGCTTCCATCTTGCTCAGCTGTGTGTGGCTGATGTGGCATTCTGACAGGAAGAGCATGACAAGAGAAGCTGCCAGACAAGAGCATCAGTGCTGGGTGGTAGCTGCTTCCCGAGATGAAAACAAAGACCACACTCTGATGTTGATTCATCCCCTCAAGGGCTATTACTTGACCATCTTCACTGCCATAGAACTTTGTGGTAGGTGTTGTGGCTGATGGAAGTGTGTTTAATTTGTGGCTACAAGATCTTCCAATAAATAAGAATAATTATATAGTTTTGTATTTAACTATTTTTTTTCTTTTTCAGAATTTGGAACATATTTATCCCATTCCCCCAACTCTTCTCATTACCACCCTTTCAACCTTCCATTCCTTACCATCCAACATTGACAATACTTCTTTTTCTTCTCCTTCTCCTTCTCCTTCTTCTTCTCCTCCTCCTCCTCTTTCTCCTCCTCCTTCTTCTTCTTTTCTTTTTTCTTCATTGAGTGCTGCTGGGTTGCTTAGCTAATCATGGGTTTGTAGCCTGCCTTGCTATGTGGCCAGCTTACCAAGCATCACAGAATTAAAGAAAATGAAAATGAACTCTTCCTCTCTCAGCAGCTAGAACTCCTTAGTTAATGGTGGGATTTCATGCCTAAATTCCCACCTCTATGCTGGGATTTTTGTCTGGTGGCTGGAGGTTGTACATGTTTGGGGGATGGTTTTACAATTGCTGTGGGCTCACATGTACATATGCCCCCTTGTGTCTGGAAAACCGCCTCCAGCTCTAGTGATCTTTCTGTTCCCTCTTCTACAAAGGTTCTTGAATAAGTATATGAAATGAATGCTCCATTTAGGGCTGAGTACTCCACATTCTCACATTCTCTACTCACCAACCATATGTGGGGGGTGTCTCCATGTTCATTGCCATCTACTACAAGCTTCTCTGATAAGGGCTGAAAGGTGCACTGATCTGTAGGTATCATGATAAGTCATTAGAGGCTATTCAAATAGCAGAATAATAGTATTGGGTTCTCTCCCTAGAGTCTATGACCTACCTAGCCATAGGTTCACACAGGGTAAAAGTATTTGGTTATGGTGGACTTGTATCCAAAGAACCAAAACCAACATTTAAATTCAGATTTCAGTGTTTAGTTTCCTCATCTGGAATATAACGTGATATACATAAAATGTGGCCAATGAACTAATTTGCCTCAACGGGAACTGATGAAAAATGGAGACCTGCAAGCCCAGCCTTTGATTCACTCCATTACAATGCACAGGCCTGAGGTCTTCTAGTTAATTAATATGCCTATTAAAATTTGAGAATTGCTATTTTAGATGATCTGCTTTCTAAATTCTGTGCCTTTTGATCTAAGCCTCCATGTTAAGAATTATGTGAATGTGCTTTGATCCAGTACAGCAATATGCCTTAATGGGAGAAGTCAGCACATTGTTAGTATATTCAAGTCAGACCTGGAGACCAGGAGTTTATATATGAGGGCTGATATTATTTAGGCAGGAAAAGGAGGTATTGCATTTTACCTCTTGTTTGATTAAATTTATTAACAATAAAAATATTTAAGTTAGTGTAATGGGCCATAATTTGGCTTTGTATTTCCACTTACCTTTTTTGAGGGTGAAACAGTTAATCAGTGGTAAATTGGAAATTATACCTATTTTCTGATCAGTAGCCTGGAGTAAACATGAGAACAACAAATGATACTATTGCTTATAATTAGTAATTCGTAATCAATAATACTTAGATGACATTCTAAAATGTACTAGTATTTATGAGATCATAATGATGGCAATTATATTTTCAAATTTAATTTGGCATGTGTTTTGGGACAATAAACTGAAGATACAAATTCTTGTTAAATATATTCAAACTGTGTGCCAAAATCATGTAAAGAGAAAAAAAACTCGCTATCAAATTATTTTGTTATGTATTTTGATAGAGCAAATGAATGCTTAAAATAGAAAATTGTGGTAAATTGTTTAATGTTTAATATGTTTTATTATTTATATATAATGTATTTTGATAAAACCAACCCTTTCTTTGTCCTCAAGTCCTTTCCTGTTTTTCCACCATTTTTCCTTAACAACTTCAAGTTTCATGTCCCTCTGTGTGCAGATATATATTATATAAAATACTAACCTATTACTTTTAAAAATGTATATTCTCTGGAAATTCAAACAATTCAAATTTAAGAATCTTATAATTTATTGATAATTATTCTAACTAGAAAGGAATTTTTATATTCCAGAAAGAATGAGTTGGGTATTTTAGACCCTAGTCTTATCTTTCACTTAAAAATTATTTAAATTTTGGTCAGAATGTAAGTAGCTATTTCAATGTTAAAATTATAACTTATAATTTTCTATTACACTAGTATTTGATGACATTTGGGTAATGTATGATTTTTAGATCATTCACTTATTGGTTCCTTAACTGAGGAAGAAATTAATACACATTTACAGTTTCCTAATTTGTTATTCAATTCCTTTATGGGCATATGACTTGCTTACATAAATTATAAGGTCCTAAATCATTGAGTGTTTGTTAAAATAGAATAAGCAATAATTCATAAGATTAGTCTGGTATACTGTAAAAAAACAGTTTTCCTTAGATTTGCCCTAATTTTTCTGTTGGATATTTTCATATTCTGTAGTTAAAAAATCATTTGAGTAATGTATTTTTAACTTCAAGTATCTCCTGAGCTGATTTCTATGCTAGTAGGTTTTATGTATATTTTACTGAAGAAAAATTACAGAGGTAGTCTTACTATTTGATCTGACTCACTAAAACAGACATAAAACCAGGTGTCTATAATTCAGCCTTGTATCTAAGGCTTCACAGCACATCTTTGTAAAGTTATTTCTTTTCTAATTTTTTTTGGCTTGATGAAACGATTGGAGATGCTTTAATCAATTTCAATGTGTTCATACATGCTTAATACGTCTCTCTTTTATTAATGTACTAATAAGTCCTATAATCCTTGGAATGGATTGCAGGCTCAGGCTGTCTTTGTTTACACCTGGGTGCTCCTTGGCAACCACAGACACAAGTCAGTAAGACTCCGCATGAATGTGATTCTGGATAGCACAGTTAATAAGGACTTGTTATCATGTCTGTGTGTCCTAGTCTTCCTGTGTCTCTCTTAACATCACAACTACTAGGCTGAATCCAAGTCCAGCAACTCAAGGAATGGTGTATGTACACAATGCTGCTTTCTAGGACACTCATTTGAAATATATGCACAAAACTATGGTATGTTGAAGACTGTCACAGAAAAGCTACTGTGAGTCTACATAAGAGAAGAAAGAACAGATGTTAAGAATGGTGCAGTATGCCAGGTAATGGTGGTGCATGCTTTTAATCTCAGCACTCGGGAGGCAGAGGCAGGTGGATCTCTGTGAATTCACGTCCAGCCTGGTCTACAGAGTTCCAGGACAGCTAGGACTGTTACACAAGGAAACCTTGTCTTGAAAAAGAAAAAAAAGTTGTATTTCAGTAGACTTTTGTAACTAATTTGAAAACTTTAAAGATTGGTAGCGTCAGTGTAACCCAGCCCCACCCGAGCAGAAGCATTCACAGCGAACTCTTAGGAAAGTAACTATCTTGTTATTTTAGAACATGCTTCAAAAGTACTACACAAAGATGTCCATCTAATTTAATTTATAAAATGAAATTGGAATTAAAAATTATGGTCTCATATATTTTATATAGTGGTTTCAATCAATAATGAGAATACTCTAAACACTTAGCTGTAAGAAAAATGCAGAGAAATATTCTTGTTCATATCTTTCTTGAGGATGTTTTATAATTTAGAATCAAATTTGAAGTAATCATAACATTTTCTTGCTCATAACAATTTATGTTTTAGTTTTAAAACTAGATACACATAATCATTAGGGAGATTATAAAAACAAAAACATTTGCAATTTTATAAGGAACTGAATATCAAAATTAACATTAAAATATTACCTATACCATTTTTTGAGTACTAAGTTTGTGATACTATGTGATATGCATATCTGGTATATACAAATTTTATAGATATATATGAATGAAATATGTAGCAAGGAATCTTAAAAGTTCTTATTAATAAAAACAAACCTGAGGCCAATTATTGGGGTGAATGCTGGGAGATCAGAGAAGCAGAACAAGTCACAGCTACCTCACCTTGCTAATTCCTCAGCTGATCCTGTTTCCTCAGACTGGAAGCTTCTAAGTCCTCATCCAGAATGAATCTCAGCTGAACTGTGCTGCCCAAAGCCTAAAAGCTTAACAGCCAAATGCTTCTAGTTTCTGGTCCTCACGCCTTATATACCTTTCTACTTTCTACCACCACTCCCTGGGATTAAAGGCTTGCTTTCTGGGATTAAAGGCGTGAGTCACCATGCTTGGCTGTATCCTTGAACACATGGATTTCTGCCTCTGGAATGCTAGGATTAAAGGCATGTGCTACCACTGCCTATCCTCTATTCTGTCTCTGACCCCAGATAAGTTTATTAGTGTGCACAATATTTTGGGGAACACAATACCACCACAGAAATATGCTTGTCTGAAAAAATTAAGTGTAATATTTATAAATGAATTTGACTATTCAGTTTAAACATACCTGAAGGTAGTCTGATGTCTAAGGAAACAGTTCAAGAGTCTATGAAGAATCTTTGAATGAGATATTACTTGAAAGCCACCAATGTATCTTAAAGATACAATAACTTAATACTTGCATTTTAATGATTTTATTCTACCACTCTGAAGTTTCACGTTGTATATTTGGTTGGATGCCTCTGACATAACTAGAAAAGAAATTTAAAATGTAACAGGACTTTTTAAAATACCTGCAGGGGAATCTTCTCGAACATTACTCCCTTTGCCATTTTAGGGTTTTCAGAACAAATTTTGTTAGTCTCTGGCACAAACACCATTTAGTTGGTTGTAATCAATATGTGAATGCTTAAGATAGATGAGATGTATTTGATACATTATCAAAGTAACTGGACAGGACCTAAGAAGTTATTCATCACATTATTGTTTGTAATTCTAAATGTGAAGAAGTAAAAATTTGAAGTAAAGATACAATGGTCTAGATTCTAAACATTTTTTCTGTCCTCTGAAATTCTCATATTAAGACAGATTAAATATTTTTAACATTTTTAATGTGTTAAATGTTTATAATAGTCTCAGTATTGATTAAGAGCACTCTACAAAATGTGTGAGCTCATATTTTTTTTAAATTCAAATCTCATTTTAGAAATTAATCAATCTGGACATCTTTGGGAAGTGATATTTAGCATTTTGTGTGTCCTAAATTAACATAATAGTTACAGGCCCTAAGAGTTTGCTGCTGATGTACTAATTCTGCTCAGGTGGGACCATTCTGGCATATGCACACACCCATGCACATGCTACAAACTATGTATGGCAAGTGAGTAGAGATCAGAGAACAACTTGTGACAGACAGTTCTCTACTTCCATTATGCTTGTTCTGGGCATTGAACTCAAGTCCTCAGGCTTGGCAGCAAGCTTCATTCCCACTGACCCATTAAGTAGGCCCAAGAAAAATTTTTACATAGAATGTGACTGCAACATTATCATGAAACAGCCTACTGGACTTGGTCATTTAAACAGGCCTATGAAATGCTTATCATGCTGTAAAACCATAATATTAAACAGCTGTTGAATAATGCATATTGTGATTTCAATCTCCTAGTGTTTGCAAATGAAAACCTGAAGCAACTTTAGTCATTACAAGAGTAGAGGCAGATGGGAGAACATCAGGTAAACTCACTTCATTTTTAAATGATTTGTTTTGATGAGAAATTTATTTATACCACCCTACGGTGTCATTATCGTAAGACTCAAGATCAGAAGAATCAGGGAAGTATTAAGTTCAAGATGCCGCATGACCCAGTTTTAAGGATTCAATATATGCTCTGGCTGGTTTTCAGTGGTTTTCAAAACTTGATCCACAGTTGTCAACATCCCATGGGTGGAGATGTTTTGGCATGTGGTATATGGCATATCTGGATTTTCCAACATATCAAAACAGGTTTTCCACATCAGTCCACATTCTTGTATCAAGTCACTTTTACAGACTTTTTTTTTTAAAGTAAATTACTCCTAATAACTTCCCCAGCCAAATCCTAAGAAATTTCCTCAGAAGTGTAATCTATTTTGTTTCTAACTTTCCAAAATTAAAAAAGTAATGCATAAGTAGTATGTCCTTGGATTAATATGAAAATTAAAATTACCATGATACAATGGAATTATTTTATTCTAGATATAATACCCAAGTGATACAGCACAATCATACCAATACAGAAAACTGACATAGGAAAATTTGATTGTAATTAATAAGTCTATTTTATTTTTACTATTATTAAAGAAGCATTTATTTTAAATTAATTTCACCCATTTGATTAAAACTATGCATGCATATCTTGATTTGTTTGATACAAGAGTAGTTAATAGAGGAAGTGTGTGGTGGTATTGTGTTCCCCAAAATATTGTGCACCCTAATAAACTTATCTGGGGTCAGAGACAGAACAGCCACTAAATACAAAGGCTAGAAAATGGTGGCACTCACACCTTTAATCCTACCACTCCAGAGGTAGACATCCCTCTGGATCTCTGTGAGTTCAAGGCCACATTGGAAATGGCCAGGCATGGTGACACATGGCTTTAATCCCAGAAAGTGAGCCTTTAATCCCAGGGAGTGATGGTAGAAGACAGAAAGGTATATAAGGCGTGAGGACCAGAAACTAGAAGCATTTGGCTGGTTAAGCATTTGGCTGTTAAGCTTTCAGGCTTCTAGCAGCAGCGTTCAGCTGAGAGCCATTCGGATATGAGGACACAGAGGCTTCCAGTCTGAGAAAACAAGACCAGCTGAGAAGTTGGCCAGGTGAGATTAGCTGTGGCTTGTTCTGTCTTTCTGACCATCCAGGATCTCACCCTAATAACTGGCCCCGGGTTTGATTTTATTAATAAGAACTTTTAAGATTCCTGCTACAGAAGTGTACACCAACATTAGTCTCTGATGGCTACAAAATGAAATTAGTTTTAACCTAATGACCCAAACAATACTTGAATGACAGGAATGTTGGCTTGAACACTCCTAACTATAGGTTAGGAGAATGGTCTGTAATTAAAGGATGGGAGAATCATTCATAAACATAAACATCCTCCATTATTCAGAACCTCTTCATATGGAAACCATTCATAAAAAAAACTTAGTAGCTGCCCATAGTTGATGAGAAAGTATGTACTTTATACTGTTTTCTTCTTCTATACCTGATCAGCAAAGCACTTATTTTCTTTCTGCTAATGGCATTTGGTATGAGATTTGGGGCATTTGTGAGATATACTGAATGTGCTGGTTGGTATTTCACACTGGCGTTGATGCCTTAATGAGATGAAGCAAAAGCATGACCAGCTCCAAGTATATCCAACCTATGTGGATTTTTGAAAAACTTGTAGAGAGAGAATACATATTTCAACATAGCTTTTAGTAGTGTGTGTCACGTTCTTTAACTTTCTAGATGAAAATATTTTATATTTAGATTTCTTTGTTCTCAATTATTGTCAGTTTTTAACATCAAAACTCATACACACAAATATATTTATTCCCTAGAATATGCTTTTAGTCTATTCATCCTTTTACTTAGAAGAGCTTTGTCGCCTTGTTTTTCTCCTTTTTACTATCATTTTAAGTTCACACTTTAGCACTAAGCTTTTGTTGGGCAGTTGATAAATTCAAGCACCCCATGCCACAGTGTTTGTTTGTGCAGATGGGCTGCACTAGTCTTAGATCATAAGGTGTATTCTCTACCACACTGACGGTCACATCCAGAGTTCCAATTTCTTTACAAGATTGAAAGTTTAGAAAAATAAAACAAACTAAAAAACAAAACAAAACAAAACCAAAAAAAAAAAAAAGAGTGTCCAGGTGTAAGATTTGTGTCATTCACTATTGATGTGCTGAGAATTTTTTAAAAAGTACTTAATGGAAAATTAAGCATCAATTGAAACTTTAGAGTTAAAAATATTAGCAATTATAGTGAGGATTAAGTAAAAAGACACTGTTTGAAAACTTCTTTTCTTGCTCCCAAGTTTGTATCACTATGGCAAAACAGTATTTCTATGCTTATTTCATAAAAGATGCCTAGATCTAAGAGATATTTCTATTTTTAAACAGCTTAACTGGGAGCATCTGCCACACCTGGAGAGGAAAATCAGCCCTTGCTTTCTCATCAGCCTGAAGGATGGCATTACCATGGAAGAAGCATCGCCTGCTACTTTAAACACACATTTTACGAAACCTCTCCCATGAGTGTGAGTTCAGCTGGTCATTTAGCAAAGGACGTTACTTAGTTTGCTTTAGTTTCCTGTTATTTCACCAGTAAGTCCATGGTCTTGGGTTAATCGGTGTCTCCTTCCTATTTGGCTTTTCCAAGGCAGATGGCACTGATCATAGCAGCTGTATTCCTAAGTTAGTATTTTCAGTATATGAGGAAGAAAATGGAGTGAGTAAAACACATGGAGACAAAAACCAAGACCAATTCAGGTTAAACAATTATGCAAAATCGATATGTCAAATGCCATGCATCTCACTGATTTCTAAGAGACTGAGTGTATGTTTTCCATTTTTCAGAACATCACATATCTGTTGCTTCCCCACAAAGTATCAAAACAAATACTGCTATCCATGAAATTTACTTATATACTGTTATAAAAGTCATGTTTAAGCATAAGTGGCATGTATTTTTTTCTACTAGCTATAACAAAAGCAATATCCTCTCTGCAGAATGAAAACAAAATAAGATTTTTCTTTTCAAGGTGTAAGCTTACAAACTATCTCCACTATCTTCATTTGAAAGAGTGCCATGTCAGTAGTTGGCAGTGCTCTTGGGGGTCAAACCTGGATGCCATTCTTACCCTGTGCTGTGATATACATTGAAATAGACAAACTAAATGAAAGATGAAATGGTCTCAGTATCTCAGTTTCAGAGCAAATGATACTGACTCATACCCCTGCAACTAGCAACAGAATGCCACATACTGACTAGGGCCTTGGGTGAGTTATACCGTGGAAAGGAAGAGAGTGAGAGCCAATCACAGATGATGCAGGTATTCTAGGGGAAGAGATGAGGAGATAAGTAGAAGGAGTAAATCCTCTGGGACAGTTTTGATTGGAATTAGGACATCCAATGTCCATCTGTTACTGTAGGCAAGGAGGACTTCCGACTGTACGATGGGACTCTAACAACCCTGACTGAATTCTTGTGTTTTTTCCAAACTTATATCCAAACCTGACCACCACTGTTAGTTACAGAGGTGAGTCTTGAGGGTGGAGCCACAAGGAACAGGATTAGTGGCCTGCTAAAGACACCCAGAGATGGTGAAGGATGTGTGAGGGAACACACAGCCTTTCATTTCAATAGACACCAGCCTGCTGGCTCCTTCATCCCTTCTTTCTAGACTTAGGGAACAGTAAGGGACATATTTCTGCCACTTAGGAGCAGCCTAAATAGACTAAGATACTCTTGTATTTATTTTAGAGATGCTTCCTTTGTCTCTATTCACCATGGGGCCATTATATTCCTCTATTTGTGATAAAGCAAATACTGAATACTTATCCTTATACTCACATATAAGTGTAGTTCTTACCCCTCATCAAAGGAACTTCTCTGCACAGAAGACTAAGCCCATTACAGAAAGCTACAACTGGTCAAAATATAGAGAGCAACTGATTACCCTGTGTCAACTCTGGTTGATGTATCTCCAACACAACCCCACATCTAAGGCACAGGGATCATTAAAGAAAAGAACGGGGGAGGAGATTGTAAGAATCAGTCTTCTTCAGGGACAAATTCCCTGGTAGGTTGACAGTCCTAAGTAGTCATTCTTAACAAAACACACACACACACACACACACACACACTATATATATATATATATATATATATATATATATATATATATATATATATATATATATCAGCAACAATAAATAGATTCAAAGATATATATATATACATATATATATGTGTATATATGTAAAAATAATAATTTATAAAGAAGAGGCAATGAATCTGAGAGGGAGTGGAAGGCCAAGAGAAGAGGGAGGAAAGGGTGGAAATATTTTAAATACAACACTCATGTATAAAGTTCTCAAAAATTCTAAACAAAAATTTCTCTTTCTTCTGGAGGAGGTAGACACAATGTCACCGCCTTGGTCTTGTCAGACCAAGTATATATGTCTATGAGTTATCTCATCTGTAAAACAGACAAAAAATATGCCACTTCAGTAGAAAGAAACATACAATGTAGTCCAGGTGACTGTACGAAAGATTTATTCGCATGATGCTTATGATTCATCCTGCATTATACCTATGATTCATCTGTGTGATATCTATGATTCAGGATCAAATCAGTAGATTAGTAACTTTTTAAATTACTGAAACAAAATACCTGAAGGTGGGTAAATTCATAAATAAAAAGGAGTTATTGTTCCTCAATGTTCTGGAGATCAAAGATCAGAGGTCATATGTATTGATGGCCTTCTTGCTAGCAGTATCATGAAATTATCTAATTGTAATTGCTTCCCATAAGACACACATCAAATATCAAAGTTGTATTGCATTTACAGTTTCTTAATAATTCCCAGTGGGGAATTCTAACACACAGTACCTGGGAAACATCCTCAGCTCATAGGTAAGTCACAGCAGTCAGTGTCCAATATGAGTGGAAAAGTGTGATTTTGTTTAGACGTAATAAAACATGAAAATTTACTTTCATTGATCCTAAATGTTCTAATTTATAAATCTTGAAATGTATAAATATTCATTTGGATTCTAAAATTTGTCCAGTATTATATCAAGTAAAAGAATATTATATTGAAGAGTGTGTCAAATGATGGTATATTTTCATAATTTGAAAAATTAAAAAAGGAATATAAACTATAGATTAATTTATGCATCAGTAGTAAGATATATCTTAATTCAGTCTTACTTGATTCTTGAGTGGACTCGTTTCCAAAAATCTTCCTGTTTTCTCAATTCGGGGCCAGACCAGTTCATTCAGAATCATTGGGAAGGGAGAGGGTTGACTGAGGAGCCTGGATGTGGTGTATCAGCAAGGTTGGTATGGCCCCTGGCCTTACTTCTATGGAGTCTAGTGCTGGACAGAAATTTTCCTCCTTGTTTACTTCCTTCTATTGAGTTGTATTTCTTTATTTTTTCACTTCCAAAATCTGTTGAAAGGTATTTCTTTATAATCACATAATATCAATCATGTATACCTATCTTCTCCATCCTCTAATATATCAGCAAACAATGACAAATGAGAAAAATCATTACAAAATTAGAAATTATAACTATGTGTTTTACACACATTTTAAGGAAGTTTAGGAAAACAAAAGGGTGATACATGGTTGCAAATGATTTATGTGCACAGAAGTCACAATCTAAATGCCTACAAAAGGTTGGACCCTTCCACACAGGGCCAAGTGTCCTGGAATAACCTCTGAGGGGCAGTCTCTAGATGGAGCAGGACCAAGCCTGGGGTTAGAATGAGCAGTGGGGCAGGTCTCCAGGTCTTACCAGTTCCCATCTCCACCCCACGCAAGCAGGCGATTACCCACCTACCCAATCTAATCCCACCCACACAACATGCCAGAGGCTTGTTCTCTGGAGATGTGGGGCACAGGGGTAGCCGAGGGCAGGGGTGGGGCACAGAGCTGACACCAGGAGAATGAGGTGGGAGTCTGAACTCTGACTAGTGAGAGACTTCTAGTTTGTCCCCTCTCACTCTTTCATGGGACAGCCACTAGGCAAGCAGCTCAGGGAGGGATGATAGCAACAGATTCTTTTCCAGGGCAGTGGAACGCCTCAGTGACAAGTCTGGGCAAATGAGTGCCAGGAGTTCATCTCAGGGCTCATCGACAAATAGTGGACAAAGAGACAGAAGGCAGTGACTTCCACTCTATCCTATACAGAATCCCGAGAAACAACATCTATTTTACTTACTAATTTTTAAAAGAGTGTAAGCAACCACAGTGCCACTATGCCATTTTTATACATGTATTCCATTGTACTTTGCTCATTCTTAATTATAAACAGAATTAAACCCTTAGATACTTGAAGAAAGCTTCTAAAATAAGAACTAATAGATTAGGAACGAAAGCAAGAAACAGAGAGAGGTGTGTGTGTGTGTTATGAACAAAAACTTTTGACAAACAACACAAAAGCTAAGTGAATAAACTGATAAGGGAAATAGAAGTTAAAAGGTAAAACCCTTTCCACTAAGACTTATTCATAAAAAATTTGAACAAAATTAACAAGAAACAAATAAAATTCTTCATGGTAAGAGCAAGGATAGAAAGACTATGATTCAAAGAAGTAGAATAAGGCAACCCCAGTTGTTGTTAGGAAACAAGCCGTCAAAAGAGTGCAGGAGAATCTGAGGGCACATAGTGGTAAGGCTGTGTATTTCCTGATGCCAGTGAGCAGTGGTGAAATTCCTACAAGGTGTGTGATGGCTACGGGAAAGTTTGGGGAAGCAAGTGTGTACACCAGAGACCCATGCAAATGAAGTAAAATGAGCAAGGAAAAATTATCACAGGAGTAAAGAGGTGAAAGTCATGGCATGTCCCTAGTCTGCACAGAATAGTAACGTGTGTGTGTGTGTGTGTGTGTGTGTGTGTGTGTACAAGTCCTGAAGATGCAGCCCAATGCTTCATGATGATACACAAACATTGTTCAATTGTATCCCATCCCAATTCACATTTCAGAGCAGAAAAAAAAATATTTCCCAGCATGTAACACAAATTGCTAAATAGTCTCATTAATGAAAAAACCTGGAGCCAGATATTGGGGTGAGAGCTGAAAGATCAGAGAAACAGAACAAGCCAGACACATTCTTACCTCTATGAAATCCTCAGCCTCAAGAGAGAGACTTCCTGTTTACCTTATATACCTTCCTGTGCCCTGCCATCTTCCTTCCTTCCCAGTGCTGGGATTAAAGGTGTGTGCCACTACTACAACTTTATACACACACACACACACACACACACACACACACACACACACACACACAAGCACATACATCCTCTATGCCCTGCTATAATTTCTGTCAGCATGTGTATATTGGGTATGCAGCTGGAGCTCAAGAAATTAGACATCAAAAAGACCAACAGTCCAATTAAGAAATGGGCTATAGAACTAAACAGAGAATTCTCAACAGAGGAAACTCAAATGGCTGAAAGACATTTAAGGAATTGCTCAACATCCCTAATCATCAGGGAAATGCAAATCAAAACAACTCTGAAATACCACCTTATGCCTGTCAGAATGGCTAAGATCAAAAACACTGAGGACACTTTATGCTGGAGAGGATGTGGAACTCGGGGAACTCTCCTCCACTGCTGGTGGGAATGCAAGCTTGTACAACCACTTTGGAAATCAATATGGCGCTTTCTTAGAAAATTGGGAATCAATCTCCCCCAAGATCCAGCTATACCACTCTTGGGCATATACCCAAGAAATGCTCAATCATACCACAAGAGCACTTGCTCAGCTATGTTTATATCAGCATTGT